GGGTTTACATGCATCTTCCTCTGGATGGCCCTCCCTCCTCTCCCTTAGCTTACAACCCCAGCACACTCACTCACCCAGACTGGGCAAACTGGAAACATACAGCTGGATGATCTGAAACAGAGGGTTTTCATTTAGGTGATGTAATTCACCCTCTGCCAGCCATGTTGGAGAAATTAAGCTAGGCTGTTGCAGCTATAAAAAGCTGTTTAAAGCTTTGGGTTCAGTATCCTATAGTCATTTTCACAGATAAGCGTAGAACTGGGGCTAATTTTCATACAGCAGGTGTTATTTTCCCATTTTGTAACCACTGATTTTTCGGTATTCAGTTCTTGAAATCGTGGTATAGCTAATAATACCTAATCTAACAGACCTCTAAAGAATGTGACGACTTAAAAACATGGAGCTAAACACTTAACTTGGCCATGATTGATATAAAACAATTGATTTATCTTTTTACAACACAAATCTGATGCTTCCTGGTAAGTTCCAAACCCCCAGGTTTATTATTTCATAAAATACTGAAAGAATCCATCAAATGTTTAAGTAAATCCTTCAATGTGGTTAGATATGAAAAAAAAATCATCTTTTTTAGGGTTAACACAGATTTTGTGATTAGGATTATTCAACATGGTTAAAGGTGATAGCTACAAGTTAAGGTCCTCCTAGCCAGTATGTGGCAAACTCGACCGGTCTCTTTAATGTCCTGCTTTCCAGCTGATTACTAGTTCCGTTAATGCTAAATGTTGTTAACTAACCTGTCCAGAGGAAAAGTCGCAACCGCTGCTTCTTCTCTGAGCCCCTTTGCTTCTGTACAGTAAATCAGTACCAAAGCTTAAAATTTTTAGACAGATGTTCACCCTCTTTTTACGTAATTCTTTTCTTGAATCTGACATATGTAACACTGAGAATATACAATTACACAGGCTTTCTAGGCTCTGGCAGTGCTGATATCCACGTCATGTGATTTGAACCTACTGCTCCTGTTGGTGCAAAACTTTTTTTGTTATTGTTGGCATTGTAACCAGATATTTGGACATTCTGTGAGTGAACTATTTTTGAAACATTTATGGTTTTAAACAAAAAAGTTGTAGCTTTGACCTTTAAGTTTAGGTAATAAGAAGTTAGGACAATAGAAAGTTGTGGAAAGTGAACACACGATTTGGTTTATAACAAAATGATAGATCATTTGTTTATGAAAATAACAAGGCTACATTTACTCTAAACATAATAATGACATTTATTTTAGAACAACACAATGACTTGGTTTACTAAAATGATGACATGCTAACTCTAGGAAATGTAAAAGGTTGGCTAGCCTTAGGAAAGATATAAATGACATATTTTTTTTTTAATGGAGAAAACAATAAACACAATTGTCAGGCTAAAAGATATCTATTTTAGGTCTAGAAAAATTACTGATAGGGTTTATGCTAGCATGATTAGTTTGTAGCAAAGATCAACCCAAGGAAACTATACCGAGAATTCTATGTTAAACAGGCTAACATGGCTGAAAAATAACAACATGGTTCAGTTTAATAAAATAAATCCTCTTTGTTAATGCATCAGGATATATCAGTATGAATTGTGTCGTTAAACTTGCATCATGACATTAGTCATATCACCAACTTCTTGCCAATTCCCACTCTATTGTTGATTAATAAAAGGTTTAGGTTTTTAAAGCATTAACATTAATTAGTTAAATAAGATCACTTACAAAATTAGGTTTATGAAAAATAATGACAAGAACAAGAGTGGAGAATATTTTTACGTTGCTAAATTCAAGAACAAACTAACATATTTTGAAATTGATTTAAATTGTTGTTTAATCCATCAAAGAAACAAATGAGTGCTTCATTTATCTGTGTCTGAGGGAAAGTTTAATGTGGCTAATGTTTGGCTGATGTCACTGAAAATAACACAGAATACTTTCTTGCTGCGTAATGGGGATTTATCAACGTGAAACCAGATTTGAGGAGGGACAACCCAAGTTTTACTGAATTTCTAAAGGCTTATTTAAAGACTCTCATCAGCAGATGTGCCAGGAGAGGATCATGCATTTCCCTAAAGTTTAAAAGATTTTTTTCTATCCTTAACAGAAATTCTTGCCAAGAAATGCTTAGAGAATTTGATCAAAAATACAAATGATCTCCACACAACCTCTTAGCTTCTGAGTTTGAGAGTCTCCATCAGTGAGACCAGACAGACTGTAAATGAGATAAGTGCTAAAACCCAGATTTTAGACAGTATGTCCACACCTCTATGAACAGCCTCTCTTTGCTGCTTCACAGTAATGTTGCAAGCCCCACTCCCCCCTTTTTTTGGTTTGTTCCCCTCTTAGTGTCTCCTTATGCCTGTCTTTGTCCAGATTTGGCACGAGTCGCACCACAAAAGTGGCTTTTTCGGAGGCTATACCCCTATGAGGTCACACCCAACAGACACTCACTAGACGGCGTTGGCTAGCACTGCATGCCGAAGTACTAAACTATTCAGGTAGTTTGGGAAGTCAACCTCTTTTCAGCGTGTTTTCTATTCCAAGGGGATCTTTAACTTCTAGAAAAAACCAGCAGTTAGAGGGGAATTTAATAATGAAGCTCTGAATTTGAGTACAATAGAACTTTGTTGCCGGAGAATTGCCTCAGCATGCACTGTCAAGTCAAATATCTCGCTCGACTTTTGGCTTGTCAGCTGTTGGCGCTGGCGAACATGTGCACTGAATATTCTTGAAAATCCCTTCGGACAAGCACTTTTGAGACCTGCAGCAGGTTTTCCATCCCGATATAGAACCTTTTTCACATCATTCAGGAATACCTATCACCACCGTTAAGAAAGCGGTGTCAGATTTAACACATCCAGCGTCATCGGTTTGGGACAAAAAAGCTACTTTTCTTCACCACATCTGGCGGCACACATGCTGCTTTTCATATCGCCTCAAACTAAAGCCTCAAAAGCCAAATCCAGGTCCTCCACGGGGACGCCTCCATTGTCTGCCTGAACTTTATATAACGCAGGGTGTCATGTAAAATGAAATTACAAGCAGCTCTGGTGTGCATCTAGTTATCCTCTGAGTGTAACCTTCATGGTGGAGGTGTAAGCTTAGCGAAGCATTCTCTGCAGTTATGGCTGGTTTGGAATTCCATCCGCCGTGGTTTGCACGCTTGTGTTCGTCTAAGACTTTTCTGGATTAGTCCACAAACAAATCCCCCTGCTTCCTAGCAATGACTAACATGCGTCTCAATGCTTTGTCAGCATCTCTAAATGATACGGTTATGTAATGCTGCTCTTTTCTTTCACTCAGTATTTCTCAGTCTGAGACAAAACTGCAGCAACAGGAGCTTGTGTTAAACCTGAAAAACTGATGCTATGTTTTATGGATAAATGCAGTTCATGACCATTTGTCTTAAACGTCCTATTTGTTGTGTGTTTTTATACGATGAAGATAGTCTTTTTTATTCTAAAACATATTTTTAGCTGTTGAAATTGGTGCTTAGAGTTAAGCAATGTACACATAATACACATATTAGATTAAGATATGAGAAGAAATGCTTTATAAGTGTCAAACATGTGAAAATAAATGGTATGAGAACAGCAGACAGGATAAACTCTTAATATTGTTATTAAATAAATAAAGATAAACTAGCAAACTACTGCTATGGTTCATATATTAAAATACCAATGATATGATTAGAAAAAGGTCACGTTTGAAACATTAACACATCATTGCTATGGGTGTATTATTTAAGTGAAAACTTAATGGTTAACTTGCATGTTAAATTTGAAATTTTTAGCACACTAATGCTGTAGCTGAAGGATTTTCCTGCCAAATTAAAAAATTAGCATAATATAGCCAAGCTAAACTAGCATGCTCAGCTAGTTTCAGAAATTAGCATGCTAATGGAAGTTTAGCATGTCAACTCTGGGGTTTAAGAATTAGCATACTTAATATGATTATTTTTATCTGTGGTGTCTTTAGTTTAGCTTTACATTATTTAAACATCATAAACATGTTAGGAGATAAAAAAGTAGGTTCTATTATTAATGAGTTAGATAGTTATATATAAGTAATTGAAATCAGGTGGCAGTTTTAAATGCTTGGGTTAATAAATATTATATTCCTAATCTGCCATAGCAATATAGCTATAAAAATCAGCACATAAAACTGTGGCCTAGTTTACATAACAAATTTAACTTTGGTGAATTTTTATTAGATATGAGGCACACCTTTTTAAAGGGAATTCTATGTAAACTGGTATGTAGTCATCTTAAAATAAAATACTAGTTTTAAGGGTGTCTAAAATAGCTTTTTTGATGATTTAGCCATTATTTTGAAGTTTTTTAGTAGCTTGGATAATAAATTACTTCCTCAACCCTATTGATGACCAAGTACCTCCTTACAATCCCTTAGCAAAAAAGTAGTTTATTCAAGTATACTTAAAGGGCACGAATTTCATACTTAAAATCAGGCATTGCACTTAGTGTTTACTTATTCTAAACTATATTTCATATACTTAACATTAGTATAGTCAAGTGTAATTGACTATATTATTGTTTATTTTATTGTTTACTAAAGTATACTTTAAGTATACTTTAGTAAACTTAAAAATGTCCCAATTTAGTACACTAAAAGTACATGTTCGGTATACTTTCTAAACTTATACTTAAGTATTCTTAATAGAATTTACTTCAAGTATACTACTTTTTGCTAAGGGATATACTAGTCAGAGAAACCCAAATTTAGTCAATGAGTTGGACACATCCAAAGCAAAGTATTTTGAATTAAAATGTATAAGGTGAATATAAAACAAATGAATTTCAAATCATATCTTATTGTAATTTGTTTCCTCCAAAATGAGTTATCTTCAGTCATTAGACCATACTGTATTACAAATGTTACATAAATGTTTTACACATTTGTCAATTGTAAATGTGTAGTAATTCTTTAGTTCTTACTTTTGAGGGTTATTGAAATTTGCACCTTTTTTTTCTTTTTCTTTTTCTTTCAGGAGACCTCACTAACTTTGGTTCCCATTGCTCCTCATTCCCCTTGATGAACCTCTGGGGGTAAGGGCCCTGTGTGTTTATAAGTCCAAATGTGTGTGTTTGTGTGTGTGTCCTCCCCAAGCTAAAGCGGACGCTTGGTCTCCCTAGCTTCCGTTTTTTTTTTTTTACCCCTTTCCATGCCTGCTGCTGCTGTTGGAGTATTCACGCTCCGGGCTGTTTTTCTTTGAGAGAGAGAGAGGCAAGGGGAAAGACAGAGTATAAAAATATGCAAATGCTATTGTCGAAGCGGCAGAGCGAGAAGGGGGTAGAGGTGCACCTTCTCACCTCTCCACGAGCCACTGATACTGTTCCATCCATCCATCCATCCATCCATCCATCCATCCATCCATCCATCCATCCATCCATCCATCCATCCATCCATCCATCCATCTACACCCCCATTGTAAGACCTGGTAGGTGGGGAGGATATCGGATGAAGCGGTGCTCCAAGGGGCCCACAGCGGCAGGATGTTAGAATATACCAAAAGGCCAGGGTTGTCTGTCTTACTTTGTTTTTTCTTGATCCACTGCAAGATACAAACTGGCCCACACAGGCGAGTCTTTCAGCTTTACTGTGAGCCTTCATCATAAATAACCTGTGCCTAACAATATGCTTGTGACGACCCGCAAATCTGTGAGGCAGTAACAGCCAGTAAATCTGAACAGAACAGGTAGAGACAAGAGAGGCAGTGATGCTGGTCGTTGTAAACCGCGGCCATGCGCATTAAGCAGATAGAATTTTATTGTTGCGCTTCATTAAGTCACGTTCTGCCGTGCCACCTTGCTTGGCTTAACCTGTTTGCACCTTGTGTTGTCAGTGGGTTGCACACAAGAGTCCTTAAAACAGCCAAAAACATCATTTCACAGGAATACTGCCAGGCACACCAAAAAAAGTAAAAAAAAAAACAAAAAAACAAAACAATTCACTGGAATTGTTTCTAAGTTTGAAAGCCTACATACTTATGTTTACTCTTCAATAAAATTGGTAAGAAATTCACGTAGAACGCAGTTTTCAAACATGATTTTGATCCAAAGTAGGCACTTGTTACTCATCAAAAAAGATAAATAGCTCATGTCAAACAGCGTTATTAAAAGTAGTGGTATGCCTTCAAAATTCATTAAAAACATTATCTTAGGTTTAACAAGGAGCCAATCTAAGAAACTGAAAATGACAGCAATCCAGCCGCCATAATTCTCCACTAACCCTGTGCAAATGCCAGCTTTAGATATACAAACTTTTTTAGATGTGATGTAGGCTTACAGGTTGGTTTATTTCCACTTACCTTGGGAAATCCAGTTAATTAAATCGTTTTTCCCTCATAGTGAAAAATGGAAGTGCATTTTAATACACAAATATTAATATTAGCAATTGATTTTTCAAATAAGGCTTGCTTAGGATATATGGATTATATAACTACTTGCCATTGTCACCACTGGCTGTCCTGAAAGTCGTTAGATGATGTCATCGCCTTATTTCTATATTCCGTAATGATGATCCAGCGCTTGGGAGAAAGGAATATCAACATTAGCAAGACAGAAAGTGATTAGAAACAATAAATATCAGTAAAACTAAAGATTAACTCAATAAAACAGTTTCAAGTATCCAGTAAAATATGACCTAAACAAAAAATACATAATTAATCAAAGGATCTAATTTAGTGCAATGGTTTGAAAGCGTAATAAATATTTGTCTTCTGCATCCAATGTAAGGAGAGCTGCTCTTTTCATTTTTAACCACAGCCCTCATTGCTTGCTAAAGACAGTCAAATTAGAGCAATTAGTGTTAATGTTGCCAACAAGGTCTCCAACAACACATGAAAAAGTCCCTATATTTGTCACTGGTTACTTTTTTGAGAAAAACTTGCTAGAGTCGTCTGAAAAGTCACTAAATATACCAACCGATTGGCTGAGTTGGAAACAGACTTACTACTGTGTAAAAACAGCCTTTATATGTGTTAATATACCTCCATATGCTAATGTTAGCATTATGGTGTATTGTAACCAATCTGGTTAGTATTAAAAAAAATAGAGAACCTCGGTTGATACTAGTGTACATTTAAGCAAATATGCTAAGTGATTGAGTAATGAGTAATTAATGCTTTAATTCCAACTAGTCTAGTGTTTTGAAAATCATTTTCTGGCGATATTATTTCAAAAAAGGGTTTAAGTCAGTTAAAATAAGATTTATGTTATTTTATTTACTCAGTGAGCAATAGAGAAATCTGAAAAAAGTTAGTATTGATACCCCTAAACAAAATCAAACACAGATCTTCAGACGTCACCATTCAACATATTCTCATTATCAGTGCGTATGAAATCGTACGAAAAGTTATGCACACTATTTCGTACGTTTTGGACAGTTTTCCTCAAAAAACCACATCAGTGCGCATGCGCTGGCAGACAGAAAAAAAAAACAGATCAGCGGACGGACGTAAAATTGGGAAAAACAGTGCAATCATCACTTATTCATGTCTCTAACTACATTGCTTGCTGTTTTATATCTTAGGGTTAGGGTTAGGATTAGGGCTAATTGTAATTTATATTCTATATTGGTGAATGGTGCTTCAAACGCGCATACAACGAAAAAAACGTCCAAAACGTACGAAATTACGGTGCATAACTTTTCGTACGATTTCATACGCACTGATAATGAGAATAGGTTGCACCATTTGTATAATATAGTATCATGGCTGCTTTTGGAGATGATCAAAGCAGTGCTGATTTGAATGTAATCTTTGAAAATCTCTTTCATTGTCCATCCTCTGAAAATAGAACAAATGCAACCCAATAAAAATAATAGGGACACTGAAACAGTCAAGTAAACACTGAAGGTTGCTGTTAAAGCAATATCTTCATGGTATGATAGTGGCAGTGTCATGCTGTGGCTCTACTAAGACTTGATCCAAAAGTGGTTAGAGTCTAAAGCAGATATATTCCGATTCATCGCTGTGACTTATGCTGTAAATAATACATTAAAAGGTTAACCGCAGCATGATGCGGCCACTGCCGTGCTTCAGCACGGGAACGGTGATTATTATTTAGCAGGTTTCTATTTGTGCACCATTTAGAGAGCATTTTCCTTCTGTTTCTTGAGTCACAGCAAAATGCACAGTTTTTTTTGCATAAAGATCATTGGACGATGACATTAGTCGTGTTCCTGGCATTGTCCAGAAAAAGAAACGAAACCTAACCGGAATCCACTCAGGGAGAGAGGGGCCCCATTTGCAAAGCCCTCACGCTTGCGGGAAGACTTTCTGAAGTGATTATGAAGACAGTTCAGATCAAAAGGGTTTGAGGAGTCTGAGAGAGGAGGAGAGAGAGACAGAGGCAGCAGCAAAATAAGAAGCTGGGTAATCACGCTGAAGCCCCTCCGCACAAGAAGATGGCACCGGTCCCCCTCCTACCTCCACCCAGCTGCTTTGCAAATGTAATGTGACACGTACGGATAAACAGATTATCAAGCTGAAAAAATAAAGAAGCAAGGCCGAACGGATGGGCCGAAGAGAACCGGCTACAACTTATAGAAATTAGAGTGGCAGAAATAGTTTATTTAATGAACTCCGGGGGCCGGGCAGTGTCAGGGAAATGATGATTAATTCTCCGGCGCTGATACAGGTCTAAATGATATAATTTGGGAATATTAGCGGGAACATTAGATGATGAGGCAGAGCTTTCTCGTGCTGGTGTCGAGTCGGCGGGGCTTCTCTTCTTTTTCTCTTTTCCTTTGCTAGTTATTATAGATTAATCCATAATCCGCACAACTTAAAGACATTTTGTCAGCGGAGCTCAGGGATAGAAGCTGTATGATTTTTTTTCCTCCTCTTAAATATATCTCTACTCCTGCTTATTTCCACTCAGTGTGATGTCACATCGTCACACATTTTCCACTGAACGTGCTCCAAAACATCTCATTCTAACAGTTCCGAGGTGCGTCTTTATCGGTTTACGTAACCGGAAATTCATCATGCACACCCATCTGTGTGTGTAACCTGGAAATAAATGATTCTAAGGTTTCCGACGCTCCCAATGTGACGATACGAATCATGTTTTTTTAGTCGCTTATTTGGCATTCATATGTTTTTTTGTTCTTTTGTTCTTTCTCCACAGACTTTAAAGGATCTGAACCCGAACCGAACAAAGAGACAAAGGCAAGCTCCATATTTAATTCGGTATATTAGTTGCAGTCACACTTCAGTGCAAAGAGCGAATCTGTAAATCTGGAGCAGATTTAACTCCCTTAAACCACAGATCATCTACAAAATGTTGATTTTTCACAAGACAGTTAGCATGATGTTTCTTTGCATTGTCCTCAGCGTGAAAAATCTGTTTTGTGTTTTTGCAAGTGTGCAATAAAAACAAGGAAGCAGAAGACAAGCTCTGTGTCTGTTTTGTGCTCCCAGAAGTGCCTTACTTAGTAAGAAGAGGGTTCGTGTCTCTTCTCCTTCCTCTCTGTGTCCTGATTTACCCTTGTGGCTGGGACAAGCATCCCTTTGAGGACGCACAAACAGACGGACAGACGGAAAGGGTCTCAACAGTGACCAGCGCCTTTTCATCCCAGCACCAACCAAACCAAAAGCCAAAACAGGGGAGCAAAAAATAAAATAAAATAATAAATTCTGCTTTTCCTTACTGTCAAACTCCTGTAAATACCTTTTTTTTTTTTTCGTGTGTTTGCAAATACAAATGCCAGAAAGCTGACAAGAGCAGCGAGACAGCGGCAGGAACAAAAAAAAAAGAAACCCTACGGAGACATGGATATAAAAATATCTCACCCGAAAGAGAAAAAGAGGGAAGAAAAAGCTGGAGTTCACCAGCAGAGATTTGGCTGGTTTTGTCACAGCAGCGTAAAAAACTTAAAAACATGTTTCACAGTAGCACAGTGAAGTTAGTTTCTTTAAAAAAAAAACAGATCAAAAGATTAGGCTGAAATGGAAAAAAAAAGTAAGTGTAAAAAAATAACTAAGTACACTTTATGTATTTCACACAGAAGGTGGTGTGGCACTCTTAACACAATTCCAGTTTGGAAAGACATTAGCAATGACAACCGATTAAACGTGAGAGTTTTGGGGAAATAGATTTAAATTAACCAACTTATTTTTTTCTTGCGGTGGGAAAATAGCAGGTGTGAGTTATCACAATGCTGAGTTAGAAATACATTAGCAATTATTCATGCGTAAATAACTTTTGATAGAAAATTGGGGAGGAAAAGAGTAAGAGCTATAATTTCCAAAAAATTGCAGTTTGTAATGGATTTAAGAGTTAAAGGTGGAGGATTTTAAAACACTGCGAGAATGGAAAGATATCAGCAATGGGAAAATAACAGGTTTACATGAGAACAGTGCTAAGTTGGAAGGACATTAGCAAGTAGCTTTTTAGATACTTAATTATGTTAGAAAATTGGAAGAAAATAGATCAAGAAATAGAGTTTTCATTGTTCTATTGTTCGTAAAGATTTAGGAGTGTCAAAGTCGTAAAGACTTTAAAACGATTTCAAGACGGTAAAACATCTGCAATGACCTAACTTTATAGGTAAATTACTAGGGGTGTCAACAATAATCGATTCAGCGATGCATTGCAATGCGGGGCATGCACGATTCAGCATCGATGCGGCAACGTGCCATAATCGATTATGTCACTATTTATTTTCTGGCCTCAAATGGACAAGTTGTGAAGTTTCAATTACTTCCGGGGGCATACCAACAACAATCAAGACGGCTGAGGCGGAGGGAGATGACCGCGATAGATGGGTAGGCTTAATTAAAAACGCACCAAAGCTTGGAAAGCGGATATCTGGGCACATTTCTCATTTTACGAAGTCAATGGGATTTTGATGCCTCGCAATGCATCGTAGAATCGAATTGAATTGAATCATTACCTGGTGAATCGGAATCGAATCGTGAGGGCAGTTCCAATGCACACCCCTATAAATTACTATGCTAGAAAATTGGGGATTCATTTATTAAGAGATACAATTTCCACAATTATCTATCCATCGAATTTCTGACACGCTTTATCCCAAGCGGGGTTGTGAGGGGTGCTGGTGCCTATCTCCAGCTGTCTACAGGTCTACAGGTCGCCAGCCCATCGCAGGGCAACACAGAGACAAATAGGACAAACAACTACTAACCGACACACTCACACCTAAGGAGAATTTAGAGAAGCCAATTAAACTAACAGTCATGTTTTTGGACCGTGGGAGGAAGCCAGAGTACCCGGAGAGAACCCATGCTTGCTCAGGGCCACTGAGCAGCCCAATTTCCACATTTATAGAGTTTGTAAAGGATTTAAGAGTCCAATGATTATTAAAAAATGTCTGTACATCAGCAATGACCTCCCTGAGTAGCTTGTTGTGTTTTAAAGTTGTGGACAAAAGACGTGGGACTCAACGTCTGCAGTTGAGGAGGTAACCGGTGGTTGTGTAACCCAATGCCAAGATATCAAGAGATAAATTAAGAACCGTAGGGTTTTTTGGTGAATTAATATTCAAATATATTGGGAAAATATACGTGCAAGATGGCTAACTACCTCACCCTTGGTGTTTCTTATGGATAAGAGAGTGTGTAACAAAATGAAAAGTAGGGAAAAACCTCAGCAACCGATTGCAATGGAACAAGATGATGTTATGAAACATTTCAGCAATTAAAGAAGCCTGTACAAAATCTGAAGGTAAAGCAATGACTGTCAAAGTGTTTAAGAGGACAATTTGAAAAGGAATGGGGAAGTATTTTTTTGGCTTGTTTGTAACCAACTTTATCCGGAAGAAATGGCTAAATGGTCCTTTAATAAAGAACATCATATAGATTGTGACTGATGGTATTATGTTCTGGTATTGGTGGTTCTACAAACTGCTGAGTTACACAAATGATTGGTCTCACATCCTAAAAATATGGAATTTAAAAGAGGGAGCACTTCCTATTTTCTTCGTTGGACAGTAATCAATGATATCTGTGAATGCACATGTACAACAGCATGGTAAGTGACTTGTAGAACTGCTGAAACTTCCTCATCCACTCAATGTGTCAACTAGAGATGTCAATTTGATTGGCTGGTAGTGAGGGCAGACGGCTATCGATTGAAGGGCTCATTAGGAGAGTGCGGCCTGCTGGGAGTATCGGGGCTGACACCGTTAACACCTAGCTCCGCCGTGTTGACCGCTCTTTAACGAACGGCCATCAGCCAAGCGGGGACCCCAGCCATTGACCCGCTGGCCAGCTGCAATCCCTTACTGCCAGGGCGGAGTGTGAGTAAAGTGCTGCGACGTGTGGAGGTATTGATCCGGACACAAAAACTCATGAACAAAAGAGACACCATATTTGTAGCCTTGGAAACAACAGAAATAATAATAAAAAATACAGTTTTTTCCTACCAAACACATGTTTTCAGCACCTAGAGAGATATAAAGATGTTAACCCTTCCCAAATTACTCAACAGCATCTGTTGTGCCATATGTACACAAAAGTTGGCCTGTATTTCTAGGCCAGAAGGTATAAGGTGGTTGGGATTTCACACGTTGTCAAATTGGAAGGAGATTCGCAAAGACCTTTAGATATAAAGTTAAAGGGCAACGGTTATGGGTAGATACATCTACATACAACTACATCCTTTGAGGTTCTACAGAACTTAAGAGGCTATATAGCACGGTTATGTTAACACAATGCCAAGATGGTAAGACTTTGTCAGTTAACATTAGAGTCCCTGTTCATTTTGTAACATCAGGAAATATTATAGATTAAAAAGATATGTAATTTCTATCTGTTTCAATTGGATTTAGAAAGGAAATAAGAACTATACCATCGAAATGGACGGATAAGAGGACTGATCTTCAGAGCATGATGTGATAAAGATGGACAGTGCATTCTCTTGCCACTCACCCACCGAGAATGTCATTTATTCTGTCTTCATGTTTTGGGACTTCAAATCATCCCTCAACACTGAGCAATGATTCAATTTTTTCTTTCTCCAACATAAAGTGATGTCATATGTTATTAGTCGAAAGCAAGAAATTACTTATTTATTCCTCAAACTGTGAATTTCCAAAGTTTATTTCTCACTACGTAGGAATTTTCTCTATTTCCTGAATAATAAATAAAAAAATATATATGTTTTTCAATATTGAGCATTTTAGCCACACTTGCGTTGAGCACTTATTGAGTTTATCAATTGAATGGAGCAAATCTGTAAGATTTTCACTCATTCTATCTCAAGCAATTTGAGACCCTCCATCCCCAAATCAATTAATCGTTAGATTTTTTTCATCATTTTTGATATTTCTTTATTAGATTAGATTCAACTTTATTGTCATTACACAGGTACAGGTACAAAGCAACGAAATGCAGTTTAGGTCTAACCAGAAGTGCAATAGCAGCAACTGAAGGATAAATAAAGGTTCCATAAATACAGGACATGGGTTTCTACTCAATAAGTATAGAGATGAATACCATTATAAACATAATCTTACTAGTAGATGAATATAATATAGACAGATCGATAATGTTTTCCTTCAACATAGATGGATCCCCACTGTTTCCTCAACGCAATGTGAATAAAAATGGGACAATTAGGTAGAAGCTGAATGTACAACAAGTGTATGTTTCCATAAAGACTGAATGTTGTGATGGTAAACATATTTGCAAAGTGGTGATTCTATATTCATCATGTTTGACGATTCCTAACTGTTTGAGTTTTATTTCTTATAAATTTGCATGACTTATTTTTCAATTATGAGAATCGAGTTGGAATTGTCGGATAATAAGATATGAAGAGAATAATGTCATAACAACATTATTCAAAGTTGTAATTTTATGAGGCACAAAAGTTGTTCTTCTTCTCTAAATGTTACAATTTTATTTTGGTTATGTTATAACTTTATGCCGATAATATCGTGGCTTTATATTTTAATATTACAAATTTAATTTTTATTCCTGTATTATTAGGATATTATTCTTGTAACATAACTTTATTCTAGCCATATTACAAATTTAATCTAGTAATATGATTTTATTCTCGTGGTGTTCACAACTTTTTTCTTGTGATGATTTCATTCTGATAATGTTACTATTTATTTGAAGTTATGTTATAACTTCAATCTTGTAATTGAATGATTTTATTCTAATAAAGCCACCAACTTTTTCCTAAAATTTAAATATTTTAGTAATGTGAGTTTATTTAAGTTATGTATTTTTTCTAGTTATATTATGACATTAGTCTGTTAATGTTATTATTTTTTTCCTCACAATATTAACACTTTACTCTAGTGATGTAATGACTTTGTTCTGGTGATGTAGTGACTTTAGTCGGGCAACGTTATGCCTTTATTCTAGTAATGTAATGACTTTATTCTAGTGATGTAATGACTTTATTCTAGTAATGTAATGACTTTATTATAGTGATGTAATGACTTTATTCTAGTGATGTAATGACCTTATTCTAGTGATGTAATGACTTTATTCTGGTAACCTTATGACTTTTTTTCTAGTAACATAATTACTTTATTCTAGTGATGTAATGACTTTATTCTAGTAATGTAATGACTTTATTCTAGTGATGTAATGACTTTATTCTAGTAATGTAATGACTTTATTCTAGTGATGTAATGACTATTCTAGTGATGTAATGACCTTATTCTAGATATGTAATGACTTTATTCTAGTAATGTAATGACTTTATTCTAGTAATGTAATGACTTTATTATAGTGATGTAATGACTTTATTCTAGTGATGTAATGACCTTATTCTAGTGATGTAATGACTTTATTCTGGTAACCTTATGACTTTTTTTCTAGTAACATAATTACTTTATTCTAGTGATGTAATGACTTTATTCTAGTAATGTAATGACTTTATTCTAGTGATGTAATGACTTTATTCGGGTAACGATATGACCTTTTTTCTAGTAATGTAATTATTTTATTATAGTAATGTAATGACTTTATTCTAGTAATGAAATGACTTTATCCTAGTAATGTAAGGACTTTATTCTAGTGAAGTAATGACTTTATTCTGGTAACCTTATTAATTTTTTTCTAGTAATGTAGTTATTTTATTCTAATAATGTTATGACTTTATACTAGTAATGAAATGACTATTCTAGTGAATTAATGACTTTATTCTGGTACTGTAACAAAGTTTTTCTATGAATGTAATGACTTTATTCTAATAATGTAATGACTTTATTTTAGTATCGTAATGACTTTATTGTGGTAATATATTTATTATGGTTATGTCTAACTAACCTCATGAATTTGCAACCCA